AAAATGAAAAATAAAAAGTGAAAAATGAAAGGTAAAAAAATTTCACATAAAGTTACATGATTGACCCCCTGAGAGGGTCAATCATGTAACTTTACGTGAAATTTTTCTTTTTGAATTTGAATAAAGTTACCATTTATCAGGAATTCGAGTTCGATTATTTTTAAACAATATCGTTATATTTAAGCGTGCGCAAGAGATAAATTTGTCCGCCACGTGGCGGTCACAAGAGGAAAAGGCGGGATTTTCGATCTTTTAATGAAGCAGCACAATTTTAAAGAAAATACTAGAATATATATTTTAACGTCTGAACAGAGTTAATACAAAAGTTTCGAAGAACGCACGACTGAACAACGATACGATATTGACTTTACACGACTAATTTCGACTAACTTCGACTTCGGCTTTGACTCTCGTGGAGAAGATGTTTGTCTCGACCGCCGACTAGAAAGAGAGTGTCGGATCGTTGGCTGTTCCGAAAAATGGGGCACGTTCAATGATATTAGTTCAAATAGAGATTGCATCAGCCTCGCTATGACTAGTCAAAATCGAAGTATCGAAAAGCGAGTGCTGGGATCGTTCGAGTGCTCTCGCCGATCGCCGAACAGCACTTTTGGCGCCATCCGCCGGTCGCCTTAGAAACTTCTTATACTATTGTATCTACTCATACTATGTCAGAATCTTCCTCTAAAGTGCAGCTTATATTCGGTCTATATATTTCATATGTGTATGGCTAGTACTGGCAATGAATATCGGAATGCAGCCATAAGCTACGTTCATTTAGCACTACAAAAGTTTCGAATTGTTTGATTAATCAATCAAAATAAAAAATTTTATGAATTGATCAATTAAAAAATGCTTCGAAGCATTTGCACCAAGTGGACTGCATCCATAGTTTTATTTCATATGATCGATGTATTCGATCTTAATCGGTTATTCGATATATATCGATATGCTTATAATTTGTCGCGCGAATTTCAATTTGAATGTCAAATGTATTTTGTGTGTTGCTTTTCTTTTTTTCTATGACAACATAATATCATCGTTATTGATTATTTATAAATAAATAATAATTGAAGAAGGACGTGTTCTTGTATAATTGTACGAAATGTTGCGTTGTAATATAAAATTCATAATTATATTTCTCTGAATAATGTATTAAATAAATCTAAGTTTGAATAAATACAAGAATCAATTCTTAATTAAATAAATAATAAATAAGATCGCTACAGTTATTTCTTCAGAAGTGGGATAAAAGTTTTCTCGTGTACCTTCCCTGGCGAAAATAAGACAAATAAAGAAGCATTAAAGAAGAAGCATTAAAACGCTTCATAAACGTTTTACATTTCTTTTACGTTTCGCTGTTCCAATTTACGCTCTCTAGAAGCTTTGTTTACACTTCCGTCACTCTTTTTTTACATTCGACTTACGCTCAACTCTTTATTTTCGCCTTATTTTCGCCAGGGTTCTCGTTTATATAACGCATTTGAATTTGATTGCCGTCCTTCTGGAGCAATTTTTAGTCCGCCTTTGTGAAGAAAAATAATGGATAGGCTTCTTCTGGAAGACTTATCTTTAGAAAGAATTTCGTGCGGAAATTCAGCTCATTATGGTTTGAAAATGTCGGATAATAGAAATGTGCATTGATACAGAGTGCATTGATACTATAATGTCGTATTTGGAAAGAAATGGTCCTTTGATGGATATGCGTCATTCGAATCAGAAGGATTCCAATTGCAGAAAAGATGTGGTTCACAGAATTCTTTCTCCTGATGCAAATCAAGATAATCTTGCATTTATTTCTTAATTCTGAGGCTAATGATTCAAACTCTGCGAAGCAAGAAGCAACCTGAAATTTCACTTTCACAAGTTATCTGCTTGTTATCTGAGCAAATGCGACAACAACAAGAGGTAATGCGTCAATTATTATCTGCTTTAAATCTTGGAAACTCAGCTTCTAAAGTTTATCCTGCTCTTCCTGGGATCCTATAATATCCCTTCTTCTCAAAATCAACCAAAATCCTTCCCAACTTTCCTGTGAAATCCTAGAAATATGTCTTTAGCCTCTTTTTCGCCTGCTCAAGCTGTTAATTTATTGGCAACACAGATTCCAGAATTCTCAGGTTTGAAAGAGGATGACGTTGATTTATGGATTATTACAGAAAGTTTAATTAAACGTGTATCTCGTATTCATGATGTTTCACATGATGTTACTTTATTAAGCCTGCGAATGCATCGAGGGCTGGTGCAACGACGCGTCGGTTTCGGGGTAGAGGGTGAGCGACGCTTTTCATCGGTCCGCCATCTAGTCGTCTTCACGATGGGATCCGCGTCAGT